CTAGGGGCTGTGCCGTGTGTGTGTGTGTGTGTGTGTGTGTGTGTGTGCCGTAAAATACTGAATCACATGTTACGTGGGTTTCACCTCCATTTTAAAATCTTCAGAAGGAAAACATAAAGGTGGAGGAAGGACGGGAGAAAGGGGGCTGAAGCCGGCCCACCATGCCCCCATGCTGGTTCTGGCCAGAGTTAAGGTGTGAGGCGTGTGCACATGGGGAACCACAGAGAACTCCCAAGGTGGCCCGGGCTCGCCCTTGGGACCCCAGGCGTGAACAGGTCTAGCCAGGCCAGCAAGAGTGATCCCAGCACCAGCAGCCCTTCACCAAGTGTCTGGGGGCCGGGACACCCCGTGGGTTACAGAGTTCACTGCACTGACCCTCCATGCTGCCCCTTGAAGTGCCTGAAATCTCAGCGTGGACTCTCACATGTGATAAGCGTTCGGGCACTCCCGTGACGCAGGCCAGGGCAAAGGCCTCACGCCCCATGAGTGGACAGGAAGTCCAGGGCAAAGGCCTTATGTCCCCTGCGTGGACAGGAAGTCCAGGGTGAAGGCCTCACGCCTCGTGGATGGACAGAAAGTCCCGTCTCTGCTCTGCCCCTAGGCCGTGCCCATGCTGATGCCACATCGCCAAGGCTGTGTTCCATAAGCAGCCTCTGTGTCCCACCGCCATCCTAGAGCACGGGCAGAGTGAGGCTGCAGCAGCCGTGTGTATGCTGGCAGGGTGCACCCCCCACCCCCAGCCTGGGCTCTGTCCCACCCTGGCTAGTATAGGATTTGATTTTAGCCAGCTTGGGACTGTGCAGGTGGGATTGATACACTTAATAAATGAGCCCATCCAAGGTGTGGCCCACCTGCCATGCAGAGCACAGGACAGCACCTCCCACTGTGTCCCGGACACACACAGGAACCTCATCATGGACAGCCCTGAGGCCATGAGGGTGAGGTGCCAGCCCTCCTTAGGCATCAAGTGTATACAAGTGGAGACGACAGCAGAGTCCGTGGGCAGCCGTGAGGCTTCGGGAGGTAACTGGGAAAGTGATGTATGGGGGGCCCAGGGCAGGCCAGGCCCCGGGTGCAGTGTGAGCACCTGCTGTGCTGCGTGGCCATCACTATGGCATCCACTGGACCTGAGCACACTGCCCGCCATGCCGGCGGGCATGTCCTGTGTGGCTCTGCACTCCCGCTTCCTAGGCCATCTTCTGTTGGGTCCGGGGCATGTTGCTCCATTCACACACTGACTCCCGCATGTGGCACACGGGAGCCCAGCGGAATGCGAGTGCAGCCCGCACTTCTCTCCCCAGGTCCCTGTCACTGCAGCCTCCCCTCAGTGTTTCTCCTCCCTTGTAGGTTCTGTGGGGACCCCACTGCCAGGCGTGCAGGTGCGCATTGTCTCAGAAAACTCACAGAAGGAAGGTGGCGGCCACACCGTGCACGCAGAGGGAGACGAGAGGGGCACCAAGGTAGGCCACTCTGCTCTCGGCAGGCGGGCTGCCGTCTGTCCAAGCTGGCCCCCTGGGGTGGTCCCACGGGTGCGTCTCCCCTGGAGATGGACTCCCCTCCGCACAGGGGACCGGCCTCCTGGACACTGCAGGTGCCGGCCAGTGTTCGTCTGTGCGCTCACGGAGCAGTGAGCAGAGGGAGCCCAAGCAGAATGCCTCGGGGACCCACACTGGGCGCACAGCTCCTCCTAGGGGCCCCATCCACAGCGGCACGCTGACGTGGGCCATGAAGGCCTCGGCTAAGGGCACCCCTAAGAGAAAGCAGGAGAGATCGTTGTTGATGGCGGGAATCTGGTTAAAAATATGAACTGGCCCGGCCCTGGCATCCGTCCTGAGGCGACACTGACCACAGGCCCCCAGGACAGGTGTGGAGAGGGTCACAGAGCCCTGCACGCTGAGGTGGGTGCCTGTGCAGAGCTCACTGGTGGCCTCCTAGTCTCGGGCATTATTCTAAAATTGACAAAGGTGAACGAGAAGAAAGGATGTTGTCTCATTTCTGTGAGGACTTTAACGTGAGAATCGACTCATCACAGGTGAACTCACATCATGGAGAAAGGTTTAGGGATGATGGGGAAATGGAATCTTGATTTAAAAGAAAATTATTTTCTCTAAAGCCAGTATCCACACCTGATACCACACATGACTGACTGTTGCCCTGAGGTTTTAAAAGATGAAGAATCGAGTCTGACCTCAGCAGATTGCCTTCTCTGTGGCGCTGTCTCAGCCCTCAGGGGCACATCCGGGCTCCCCACCCAGAGGCAGACGGGCCGTGGGCTGCTCTCCAGCCACATACCCTCCCTGGACCTTGGTTTCCACACCTGACCAGGTGAGGGTTGGGGCGATGATTGGAGATGGGGAGCAGTGGTTGTGGCTGGACATTTTAGCTCCAGCAAACAAGTAGGACGCAGGTGGCTTTCAGTGTAATTTAATGACAAGCTTCAGAACCACCTGAAGTGCTCATTCTTTCCCCCACGAAAGCCTCTCACGGCGGCCTCCTGTAGCAGCCGACCTTGTATGGAGGGTCACACGGTGCGCGCTGCCTGGCCTGGGTCACCTGCAGCGCCTCACTGGGGTGTTATCCTCCGAGGCCCCCACTGTGGCCCCAACAGTGCCATGTGCACCTTCCTGAAACCCATTTGGGTGGCTACCCCTTGGTGGACACTGGCCCCCCGCCCTCTATAGGTTGGCCTCAGGCCCCAGCCCATGTGGTTGTTCTGACACCCCTCTCCCAGGGCTCCTGTCTCGGCCACACCCCACCTCTCGGGTTCCTGAAGACACCGGCCCGTCCTGGTCCTTCCTGGCTCTCCGGTCTGTGCTCCCTCAGGGCTTGTGCTCCAGAAGAGTGAACATGCTGAAACCTTGGTTCTGTTTTAGTCAAGGAAATACTCATTGTTTCGCATGGCTTTGGATTCCTCTCTGTGACATTCCTCTTCGTGGTCGGTACCCTTCTCCCTCTTCACCTTTTCATGGCCAGAACTCAAGTTCACAGGTGTCCGGGACTGACATTCAGTTGACCTTGTTCCCAGTTCTGTCTAGTGAGTCAGTGCCATGCAGGCAGCTGTGTGGAGCTCAAGCCCTGGATGGAGCGAGCCTGTGTGCTTGCCATGTGGAGAGAGGCTGAGGTGCTCGGGTCACTGTCACCGCGGAACAGGCCATGAGTGGAGAGGCCTCACCACATTGACAAGTGGCACACAGTCAGATTGACTCCTTTTTTCTTGTCACACAGTTTTATGAATGTTCACACATCTGTGGATTCACAGAACTCCCTCCGCAGTCAGGATCAGAGCAGGTTCACACCCAGAAGCATTCGCTTATCCTCCGGTACCCCTGATCTGTTTCCATTTGAGTTCTCTCTCCTCGAGAATTTCTTATGGCTAGAATCCCATAGTGTTGTATTTCGAGCCTGCAGCTTCTCTCACTTAAGATGGTGCCATTGAGACCCACCCGAGGGTGCCTTGTGTGCCAGGAATTTGCTCTTTTTTATTGCCAAGTAGTATTCTGTGATGTGGGTGTTTATCCAGTCACTCATTGGAAGACATTTGGGTTGTTTCCAGATTGGGGCCATGGTAAGTACAGCGTTATAAACCTTATTAATTTCAGGATTTTGTGTGAAAATAAGTTTATATTTCTCTAAGGTAAATACCTCGGAATGGGGTTGCTTGGTCATGTTAAGTGTGTATTTAACTTTAGTAGAAACTGCCAGGCTGTTCTTGTGGAGTTGCTGTGTTATTTTGGATTGCTACCAGCAACCGGTGAGAATCCTGGGTTCTCTGCCTCCGTCCGGCACTTCGTATTGTCGGAAATTTTTCCATTTGCCGCTCTGGCCGGTGTTTGTAGTGCCTTGCCGTGGTTTTTGTGTCACTCTGGCCATCGTTTCAGTGTCACTCTGGCTGGCGTTCAGCAGTGCCTGACTGTGGTTTCAATGTCGCCCTGGCTGTGGTTTCAGTGTCCCTGTGGCTGTGGTTTCCTTATAACTCTGGCCATAGTTTCCATGTTGCCCTGGCTGTGGTTTCCCTGTCGCCCTGGCCATGGTTTCAGTGTCGCCCTAGCCGTGGTTTCTGTGTCGCTCTGGCCATGGTTTCAGTGTCACTCTGGTCCTGGTTCCAGTGCCACTGTCGCCGTGGTTTCAGTGCAACTCTGGCTGTAATTTCAGTGCCACTGTGGCTGTGATTTCAGTGTCACCCTAGCCATGGTTTCAGTGTTGCTGTGGCCATGGTTTCAGTGCCTGGCTATAGTTTCAGTGAGTAGTTGTTTCCCCAGTGGCCATTGATGTGGGACTTCTGTACACGTTTATTTGCCATCTGTGGGTCTTGTTTTGAAGTATCTGTTTAACTCTTCAGACCATTTAACTGGTTTATTTTCTTGCTGTTGAGATTTAGAATAGGTCATTTGCCAGTATTTTCTCTGTCTTGTCTTTTCATTCTCTTCTATTTCATAGAGCAAGTCTACTTGATCTTTTCTTTTCTTTTCTTTCATGGATCAAGCTTTTGCTGTCATGTCTAACTCCAGGTTGCAAGGGTTTTCTTTTAGGTCTTCATCTGAATGTTTATAGTTTTACATTTATATCCATGCAGCATTTTGAGTGAATTTTTGGGTAATATGTGAGGTTTAGGTGTGAGGTTCATTTTTCTGCATATAGTTCTGCATTTGTTTTGGGAATATGTGAGGATTAAGTGGGAGGTTCATTTTTTTGCATGCAGTTTTGCATTTTGGGAGGGAATATCTGAGGTTTAGTTGGGAGGTTCATTTTTTTGCATAAACAATTGTTCAGGTATCATTTTAAAAGACTACCCTTTCTGCATTGAGTTATCATTGCCTCTTTGCCAAAAATTAGTTGGACATATTTGAGAGGGTCTGTTTGTAGGTTCTCTGTTCTGTTCCCATGATCTATGTTTCTGTTCTGCTGACACCACATTGTCTTGACTGTTGTGGTTTTATGCTAAGTCTTACAATTGTAGTGCGATTTTACCAGTTTTATTCTTTTTCAGAGTTGTTTTGGTGCACATATCAATTTTAGAGTTAGCTTGTCTATATCTACAAAAAGTCATTTTGAGATCTTGATTGGAAAGCCAGGCGTGGTGGCTCTTGCCTGTAATCCCAGCACTTTGGGAAGCCAAGGCAGGCAGGTCAACTTGAAGCCAGGAGTTCAAGACCAGCCTGGTCAACAGGGTGAAATCCTGTCTCTACTAAAAATACAAAAAAATTAGCCAGATGTGGTGCCACATGCCTGTAATCCCAGCTACTCAGGAGACTGAGGCACAAGAATTGTTTGAGCCTGGGAGGTGGAGGTTGAAGTGAGCCAAGATTTTGCCACTGCACTTCAGTCTGGGCAACAGAGCGAGACTCTGTCTCAAAAGAGAGAGAGAGAGAGAGAAACGTTGATTGGAATTTAGCCATTCTGATAGGGGAGATCACTTGGGGGAGAATTAACAATTACTATGTTGAGTCTTCCAATTCATGAACATGGTATGTCTCTCCATTTACATAGATCTACTTTGGTTTCTTCTATGTTGTTTTCAGCATATAGATGCTGTACTTGTTGTGTTAGATTTATATCTAAATGTTTCTTCTTTTCTTTACTCTTCCTTTTAGTCCTCCTCCTCCTTTTTCTTCTCTTCTTTTTAAACTGTTGTAAGTATGGCAGGGGGTGGGGGGTTGTTTGTTTTTTTGAGACAGAGTTTTGCCCTGTCACCCAGGCTAAAGTGTAATGGTGTGATCACAACTCACTGCAACTTCTTCTTCCTGGGTTCAAGTGATTCTCATGCCTCAGCCTCCCAAGTAGCTGGAATTACAAATGTGTGCACCATACCTGGCTAATTTTTAATAGAGACAAGGTTTCACCATGTTGGCCAGGCTGGTCTCAAACTGTGGCCTCAAGTAACCTGCCCACCTCAGCCTTCCAAAGTGCTGAGATTACAGGCATGAGGCACTGTACACTCAGGTTTTTGTTGCTGTTTTCAATTGTTCTGTTGTTAATTTTAAATTGTTCATTGCTAGTAGGTAGAAATACAATTGATTTTTGTGTGTTGGCCTCAAATACTTTAGTTGTTACCTTGCTAAATTCGCTTACTAGTTTTCAGAGATTTTTGTAGATTTCTTGGGAATTTCTGCAAATACAATCATGTTTTCTGCAAATAAGGACAATTTTATTTCTTCCTTTCCAATCTGTATGATTAAAGCCCTAAGACTTCCAATACCATATTGAATAGAAGCAGTAAGAGTGGACATTCCTATTTGTGATCTTACAGTGGAAGGATTCAGTCTTTCAGCAGATGTGTTAGTTATTGGCTTTTTGCAGATTCTATCTATAATATGCTGAGAGTTTTTATCACCAAACGCATGTTGAATATTTCCAAAAACCTTTTCTGCATTGGTTCTGCAGTAAATCATTTTTATTTATTAGGCTGTTAATATGGTAGATTGAATTGAACCAACCTTTCATTCCCAGTACAAACACCACT